GCCATAACAACGCCAGGCTATTTTGTTGTTGTTGTCCTCATTGTTGGTTAGCAAGCTCAGGCAGGGTTTGAACCTGCCAGCCCTGGTGTATGTGGCCCATGCCCTAACCACTGAGCATGGGAGCCAAGCCCCTTCTTAAATTATTAATATTTGAATCCTTGTTCTTTTCTTTTCTTTTCTTTTTTTTTTTGAGACAGAGTCATTTTGTCACCCTCAGTAGAGTGCTGTGGCATCACAGAACCTCCAACTCCTGGGCTTAGGCAATTCTCTTGCCTCAGCCTCCCAAGTAGCTGGGACTACAGATGCCCACCACAATGCCTGGCAATTGTTTGTTGCAGTTTGGTCAGGGCTGGGTTTGAACCCACCACCCTCGGTATATGGGGTGTTGCGCCCAATCCTTGTTTTTTGGAAAACAAATTAGCTCATCTTTATGTTGTATATGACTCCAACTGAATGACTCATTTTTGCTGCTAAAGCTTTCTTATGTCCTGAAGGAACTTTTTAATCTTGTTTTTAATGGTTTCTCTGAAGAACACCCTTAAGTGTAAGGCAATTAATGATATCTCAAAAAACAAACTGGACTTGGTGCCTGTACCACAGTAAATACAGTGCCAGCTACATGCCCTGAGGCTGGTGGGTATGAACACGGCCTGGGCCAGCTAAACAACAATGACAACCGCAACAAAAAAATAGCCAAGTGTTGCTGCAGGTGCCTGTAGTCCCAGCTACTTAGGAAATTGAGGCAAGATAATTGCTTACACCCAAGAATTTGAGGTTGCTGTGAGCTGTGATGCTGTGGCACTCTTCCAAGGGCAACATAGTGAGACTGTCTCAAAAACAAAACAAAACAAACCATAGAGTTTAGTCTTATTTGTAATGAACTATAACATGATATATCATTTATAGCATAATCATTTTAATGTTTTGTTTTAATAGAGAAAATAATGTCTAAAGGCTGTTAACTTCAAAATGTAAAACATTGTTCGATTAATTTCCTCTTTAATCTATTAGAAATCTAAATATTTACTGTCTAAGACAAATTCTCTATTTTTCTGTATTGTCTAAGTAAAACTGAGAAGCATGAGCTTTGGTTTTTTGGAGATAGAGTCTCCCTATGTTGGCCTCAGTAGAGTGCGATGGCATCACAGCTCACAGCAACCTCAAACTCTTGGGCTTAAGCGATTCTCTTGCCCCAGCCTCCCAAGTAGCTGGGACTACAGGCGCTGGCCACAATGCCCGGCTGTTTTTTGGTTCTAGTTGTCACTGTTGTTTGGCAGGCCAGGGCTGGATTTGAACCTGCCAGATCTTGTGCGTGTGGCTGGTACCTTACCCGCTGAGCTACAGGTGCCGAGCCATGATCTTTGTTTTGCGGAAATTAAATGTCTGACATTAAATTGGTTGTGGGACTAAAGAGAAAAAATTTGTTGTGTTACTTTACCAATTTTGTTCATGTTTTTAAAATGGAAGTAGCTTCATTTATCTTTTGATTTTAAAATAAAACTCATTATATATGAGTTTGTTGCAAGACACTGTAGAGAAATAGAGAAAGTAATAGTTTTGTTTATTCAATATTTGTACAGGTCATTCTGTATACTCTCCTTTGCCAAGAGAGAAGAGCTGATCCAGAGGCCGGCTGGCTTCTCTACCTCAAGACTGGTCAGATGTACTTTGTGCCTGCAAACCATCTAGATAAAAGAGGTTGAGCTGTTTTCTTTCAATATTATTCCTCTGCCCACCATCCCTCTTTAATCTTTGGGGGATACATGAATATTTATATCTGGCAGTCTGCCACTGAACTTGCTAGGTGTAATACAGGTTGTAATTTTCAGCTGTATTTTTTTTTAAACTTTTATAATATACTCTTATAAAATATCAAGCTCAGGGGCCAGGCATGGTGGCTCATGCCTTAAATCCTAGCACTCTGAGAGGCCAAGGCGGTAGATTGCCTGAGCTGAGGAGTTTGAGACCAGCCTGAGCAAGAGCGAGACCCCATCTCAAACAAATTAGCTGGGGGTTTGGCTCCTGTGGCTCAGTGGCTAGGGCACCAGCGGC